GATGAGAGTCACATGATGAACCAAAGCCCATCACAAGTAGCTTTTAAATAATAACGTGTATATAGAAGGCACAGAGTGTCATTCACACAAACACTAAACACCATCATGATAACACACATGAAACTGAAATAATGAAATAAATATTCATTTAACAACATTAGGTGTAACATATAACCCTAATATACAAAACTGATAAGAAAAAACTAAGAAGAAACATAGTTATTTCAACAAAAAAACATCAAATTTGAAATGTAACGCACGGAATTCTGGAATAAATTTAATTTAAATTGTTAATGTAAATTATACAGTCTTTTTCACTTCCAAAAACGGTATACTACCGTAAAATTGCATGTAATGTCCAATACAGTTTTTCACTGTATATAGTAGGGGAATTTACCGTTAACCATTTAACAGGTTTTTACTGTAGCATTTTTACAGTCTTTTACCGTTAAATTCACGGTCATTTTTTACAATGTGGGTTTGCTGTGTAAAGAACACAACGCGGAAGTGTAATGGAAGCTCGTCATCAGAAGAGACGGGGCGGGTTATGAACGCGCAATATGAGTGACATATGAGCAGCAAATGAGCTTCATCTGAATCAGAACAACCAATTGCGGAAGAGAAAACAAACTGAGACAGTGCTGGAAGCCACTAATTCTCATCAGATCGCATAATTCAGTGGAAAATGAATAGAAATGATTCTGTCTAAAGAAATGTGAAATGAATATGTGTAAAGATATCAGTATTTCTCCAAATATGCACACTTTTGGACTAAAAGCCCTATTGGACGCTGTTCAGTGACACTTGCACGTGACTGCCTGTCTGAGTTTGTCGACAGCCAGAGGCGGCAAAAAATTTGACAGAGGCGGCTCTGACTCCGTATATAATACTCATATCATACTATATGGTCATATCGTATTTTGTGAGATCCTTTGAAGACAGCCAGAGAGATTTACAAGATCGTTTTGTTATTTTAGTGTCTCACTGTCTTTGTTGTGTCATTGTAGAAAGGTTGTCATGAACGTGTTGGCCAGTGTGTACACACACACACACACACACACACACACACACACACACACTCTCTCTTAGTCAGCCAGGAGCCAGCCTGCAGTGTCCTACCTCAGTGCCATTCACATTTGAATGGGCATTGCACACCCCTGCTCTCTCTCCTCTGCCTATTAAAAGCACATGTGACCATCGGCCGATGGCTTCACAGAGCAGCCCAGCATGCAGTACTGTTTTCATTCACGTCCAGTATGTCCGTCTCGTTTTTCTTTCCACTTTTCTCAAGTTTAAATGAGGAAAAGCTTTCATTCAAACCATCTGCTGAGAGGTCTACCTTTGCTGTATCGACCTGCCCTGAGCAGGACATTCATATTATCAATGTCATGGATTGGAAGCACAAGTGCAGAGTCAAACCGCTGCTCTGCTAGGGGATCTGATTCTGCGGATATAAATAGCTCCAGCTGCTGGTCGCTCCCACTATTGGAGGGAAATGCCTGGAGCATCTTGTTAGAGGTGGAGTCTAGATGAGGGCGAGTGCAGTGTCCTACCTCAGTGACATTCACATTTGAATGGGCATTGCACACCCCTGCTCTCTCTCCTCTGCCTATTAAAAGCACATGTGACCATCGGCCGATGGCTTCACAGAGCAGCCCAGCATGCAGTACTGTTTTCATTCACGTCCAGTATGTCCGTCTCGTTTTTCTTTCCACTTTTCTCAAGTTTAAATGAGGAAAAGCTTTCATTCAAACCATCTGCTGAGAGGTCTACCTTTGCTGTATCGACCTGCCCTGAGCAGGACATTCATATTATCAATGTCATGGATTGGAAGCACAAGTGCAGAGTCAAACCGCTGCTCTGCTAGGGGATCTGATTCTGCGGATATAAATAGCTCCAGCTGCTGGTCGCTCCCACTATTGGAGGGAAATGCCTGGAGCATCTTGTTAGAGGTGGAGTCTAGATGAGGGCGAGAGACCTTGACTCGCAGTGAGTGAGTGAGAGAGAGAGAGAGAAAGATCTGATAAAAACTCTTGTCTGTATTTCTTATGAAGGGCTTGTTACTTCCTGACATAGCTAATCAGTTGTGTCATCTGCCAGCAACTTAATCAGAACTTCAGTTTTTAAAAGTTTCAAAATGAATGTATATATTAATATGTAATTGCTATACAGTCACATAAAAGGTGTTTTATATTAGAAGAGTAACCTTTTTAACAAATAGCCAAATGCAAAAGGTTTAATGCAAAAAATATATAATTACTATTTATATACATATAAAATTTTTTAGTTTAATTATAGACTGGAATATGTACCTACAAACCCGATTCCAAAAA